CGGCAATTTAAATCCAATCATTAACCATATAGTTGCAGGAAATGATTTAATAATTCAGCAACTAGCCTCCTAAGCATGCATAGATCAAAATTAATAATTAAATGACCTTATCATGCACTTGAATGCATTCTAAAACAAGTTTTATAAACACATTATATTCCATCAAATTGCTGAAATTTAATTCAACAATTAATTCATCTTCCATTTGTTAACAACATAGGGAGTGTCTTAATTTTTACACTGTTTGTCCCGACAATTTAGAATTTAACCCTAATCAATTTAAGGTCCCCAAATTTAGCCTTCTAAACTCTCTGTGGAACCCCAAACCCAACAGGTTTAAATCCCATGCTCCAACAGTAAGCACAGTACGTAGAAAATTAAAAAAAACTTAAAATAAATCAGAAAATAAAAAGGGAGCCTGCTCCAAAATTTGGAGCAGGCTCTTTTTTTCAGCCTAGAGCCGGCTCTAGGACTCCCTAGAGCCGGCTCTACTTGTTGTGGGAGCCGGCTCCTACATCCATGGAGCCGGCTCTCACCTCCTTTGAGAGCCTCTGTCCCCGTTGCTTCGTTTCAGTCCGTCCGCTCCTTCTCTGATCAATTCCTACCACTCTGTTGGTTTCTAAAAACTAATCTTAGGAATCTTAATTTAATCTAGAAGCATTCCCCAAGATTGTTTACAATAATTTTGAAAACAATTACAGAGTTTAATCAAGCCATTTAAACTAGCATTGTTGAAAAACAACACTGAAACTAAATTGCAACATCAGTTTTATCCCAACCCCTCTGTTCTTCCTCCAATTTAAATTTGAAGTCTTGAATTACATCTAGTATCCAATCAGTCCTTGGTTGATTTCAGTAAGATTCAAAAAAAAAAAAAAAAAAAAATTTGAACAGTGGGACGTTATGCCAAAACAGAGTCAAGAAAAACATACGTGCTATAATTGTTTTGTAAATAAATTTTTCACAGATAAAACGATCAAGTAAAACATATATAAAACATGCATGGTTCAGTTTAAGGCCAATTAATCTCCTAGAGACTGTCTAGGTGCACAGAACACAAGCCAAAGGGAAGGAGGTAGAGATAAGAACTTGCTTGTACAGTTTTATAACCAAAACCTTGTCGCCGTTGTTCTAAACTTTCTAGCCTCCTTTGGTTCTGATCTAATCCACCAAAATCCTCCCTTGGTCCTCTCTCAAAGCCTCACTGTGTAACTTTCTGCTCTCTCAAAGCCTCACTGTGTAATTCTCTGTATCTATGTTACGTGAGTAGGGTTTTTTCCCAACCCTTAATACAGATTACAACTATGTATATATAGGCGTAAAAACCTAAACCCTAATCCTTGTTTAATTAAAGCCAGAGCCCTAATGTAAAACTCTAGTCAATCGGCCCATATAGCAATCTAGGTTATCATAGTGCGGCTTACCTACACGTGATTTGCAATCCAAAGCTAACTGTAACTTAAACCATAATTAAATTAAAAATCCAATTTAAATAATTAAATACACTTAACTAATTAATTCCAATTAAATAACCCAATTAAATAATTAAAAGATAACTTAATTCAATTTAAAATACATGACACATAGGAAAACAATTAAATCAAATCTAACTTAATTCAATTTAAAACACATGACACATAGGAAAACAATTAAATCAAATCAATAAATAAAAATAATTAAACCAAATAATCACGAAAAATACAATAAAAATAATAAATAAATGCCGAGACTATCCTTTTAAAATTAGGGGTATTACAGAAATCCCCGTTCGGCAGATCTCCTTTTTGAGCTATGGTAATCAACTGTCGCTAATGAAGGTCGGTATGGCGGATCGAACGACCTGTCCTCCGCAAATTCACTCCGCTATGGTGACCCAATCCTATGTTCATATGCCGGTGCTTCCTTCCTCATAATCCTTTTGTGATTCGGTTCCAGACGAACAAATCCTTCTCGATCCTCTACTCGGCCGACATTCAGAGGCAGATTACCGATTATACCTTCATTACGATGTGGACCACCACGATTGACATCTTCTGGATCACCTTGACGATCAGCTTCGGACGGTAAAGCTCCCTCTCCTTCAGGAGGCGGCCTCGGAATTGCAGGAGCCTCACGATGCTCCATTCCAGCTCGTAGCTCTGCATTTTCTTTCCTCAAAGCATCGATCATGTTCATTAGCTCATCGAGCTTTGTCTGCTGGCCGTTCTCCAAAGAATTCGAGTTCGCCTCTCCGATCATCATTCCAGATCGGAGCAAAGTCATCAACTGCAGACTTCTTGACCAAATCGGAGTTCCGCTAACGTGCGCACACCAGATTTGAACTTACACTTGCTGAATTCAGTCCACTACTGGCCGGATTCAGTAATCACAACAGATCGCAATCGCGCAGTTCGCCTGATCAAGCACGGATCTGATCTGCTTGGATCGGACGCCAATTTTTCGAAATCAACCGGAGCCTGGACTCGTCAAGACAGATCGTATTATTACCAATGTTGATTCAGCTTTCGCAGATTAATCGTCTTCCTCGCAGAATGCGTTGAATCGATCCGATCTGGAATGATATCAATCAATCCTTCCTGTTCTTCCCACAGACGGCGCCAATTGAAAGTACAAAGAATTTCCCCTTCTTATAGAGAGAGAACTTCTTCACTCCAATTCCCTTTTTCCCTCTCGATTTCCCTTATTTATAGATGGTTACAACCTCCTTTGGCCTGGGCTTTATCCGCTTCCCTTTGCCTGGACTCAACTTCCCTCATTTTAACATGGGTTTCTGAAATGACTTTATGGACCTGGGCCCATCCAACGCGAACTTGCTCCATCCCGTTTGTCCACACCAGACCCGTCCTATGCAATGTGGATCACACCAAACCCGGGTCATTTTGGTGTCCTCATTTGCCATGTGAAACACAACCAACAGTAGTGCCACGTCAGTCATTAACCGTCCCTCCATCTACATCATGGGTGAAAGCTTATCTCAACATTTCATAATTTTATCTTCAATCTCAAGTTGAGTTCATACTCACCTTGAGTTTAAAGGGCTGTTACATTACAAATTCACCCCCTTACCTACCATATAGGTTTCTTGCATATTATAAAATACTATATATGATTACACCTACCATATTAGTATATATAGATTACTTATTCATCACTTATCTACCGCAAACATTCTCTTACATATAGGATATTTATGTAATCTTCATTAATACAACTCAACACAATATACAATTTCTCTCTTTTATTTCTAACATATATACTTCATAATCTATATATCTTACTTGTGTTTCTCCTATTTTAAAATTTTCTCACATTTATGGTTTTATATTTTTTATTGGAATTTATCAACTAAATATAAAGAACTAAAAAAAATTAACACAACAATAAAAGCAACTATGATTTCTTTGTTTGTTAGTAATTAATAACATTTTATTAATATTAAGTGACACTTGTTATTTTATTTTGCAAAAAATTATCTCTGTATCATAATGGAGACTTGAAAAGAAAGGAAAATGGTTACATCTCTCTTTATTTAGTACCTGAAAACGGAGATTTGCTTCCTACTGGTTTAGAGTACTGCTTTAGAGAATAGTGTAGAATTTAAGAAGTTATTTCTATATAATTAGATTGAAGACAAACACTTGATAGTACATGATAACTCCCGCTCTCTTTTCTTGATGATTACCCTATAATTTCCATTTACACAACTTTAGTTTAATTATTTCTCTCTTTTGATTGTTTTCACTCTTCTAGATGGTGGTGAGACAGTCTGTCAATTTCACAAGTTGAAAACCAAACATGGATTCTCTAAATTAATTCATCCCATTGCTACATTCTGCAATGCTTTAAATAGATATTTATTAAATGAATGCTACCAAAATCGTTATTTTCAACTACTTTTGGTATAAAAACACTTTTCAAAATAAAGTGATCATTTTAGTTATATTCGGATTATTAAAACCACTTTTCTCCAATTTTTTAAGTATCTTTATAATACTCAATCATGAGCACCATAAACTTTGCAAAATGATTAAGAACCAAACAAACCTCAGTGTGATTCAATGAGTGACTTATCAAGGGAAATCTTAGGCTGGGTTGAACCTCCCTCTAAAACCAAAACCAACAAACAAATCATAAACACAGTCTCACAAACTTTGCGCGATCAATGACAAGATTAAGATGTTCGGTGCTAGCACTTTTTGAAACATAAGGAGAATCATCTCATACCTAGTGCTCATTTTCTTTAAGATCACATTAACCTATGCGAAAATGAGTGGAGAAGAGTTTCAAGAATTACATTGAGAAATTGGACTCGATCGGCAGGATAAAATATTTTATTTCCTTTCTTCACATCAACACCCCCCAGTTTTAAGTTGAGATAATTTGTAGGAAGCCCTTCTTTAGTGCCTACTGCTCCTTTTCTTGCCTCTTAACTCTAAACCAAGTCAAAACGGGTTAATGGCACTAGACATCTCGTCAAAAAGAGTTTCGTTATTTTAAATAAAGATCAATTGTCATAGTCATTATGCATCACTTACTGTACAAAATTACGTAGCTTCACTTCATTTGCATCAAAAGAACAAAAACATGCAAAAGAGCCCAACCAAAGAAAAAGGAGATGAGTAAAAAACAGGTGATCAAATCAAATCAAATCAAATCAAAGGCTGTTCAGGTTGGCAGGCTAATCAACTCAAGTTATTAAGTCATTTGATGCGCCTTAACACCTAATACCTTAAAATTACTTGGTAAAATTCATTTATTACAATGTTTTTGGAAGTAAAATTATTAAAACATTTTAGTAAAAAAGTGTTTAATCAGTGCTTACCGAAAAAAAAAAAAAAAAAACGTTGGTAAGTGGGCACTTTAATATTATTTCACTTTACTATTTCCTTAATTTACCATTTATTTATAACTTTACCAATCCCATGGTTTCTCTTCAGCCTCCCCAATCGCCTCCATCTCTATTCTCGGTCTCTAACTCTGAACTTCCCCTCCCCCCCCCCCCCCCCCCCCTTCTCTCTGCAACTCCCCAATTGCGCCCCTCCATCTCTATTCTCGTTCTCAACTCTGAACTTGGCCCCTCTCTCTCTCTGTAACTCCCCAATCGCCTCCATCTCTATTCTCGTTCTCAACACTGAACTTGCCCCCTGTCTATCTCTGCAACTCCCCAATTGCCTCCATCTCTATTCTCTTTTCTCAACTCTGAACTTGCCCCCTCTCTCTCTCTGCAACTGCTAACTAGAAAATCTACAAGAATCAGAAGTTCAAAACCCATATATTTCAGTTTATCTATCTGTCTGCAAGAATCAAAAGTTCAAAACCTATTACCTAATCAAAACTTATATCTGATATGCCAGATTGTTCAAAAAATCAAAACCCATATCTTTCAGTTTCTATCGCCCGCTGTTCCAGTTCGGGTTCGCCGTTCGCAAGCTTCAGCCGCTGTCTCTCAACTCTCAAGCTTGCCCCCCTCTCTCTTTCTGCAACTGCTAACTTGTATGTATGGGTTTTGTTTTAATTTTTTTTGATATTTATTATTGTTTGTGCCTATTGTGTTTTTCAGCGAGGAAGAAGCAAGGATGAAAATCTACTCTGTCTCAACTAGACACTATTATGCATTTGGAGCCCTTGTATCTGAAGAACTTTCATACAAGATCAAAGGTACTTCATGTACTTGATGCTTGGTTTCTGCTATTGTTCATTGAAATTGGGATTTCTAAGCATTGGTATGTATTCCTATTTCCTGTCAATCTTGTTTTCTTTTGCAATGCGTTTCTTATGAATGTGTTTGATTTTCAGCTGTTAATCGCATGGATTGTCATGTTGAATGTGTTTATTTGTTTCTTGGGCTTTGATTCTTTTTCTTGTGTTTTATTCATTCCTTTTCAATTCTTGGGAAGTTTCTTGTTAACTGTTTTTGCTTGTTTTTCTTGTGTTTTTAGTTATTCTTTTTCTATTCTTATGTGTAGGTGTTTGCGCATTTACTGGTTGATCCGCTGCAGATACTGATGGTTAGTGTTGCAGTTGCATTGCGGGAGATTGGTTACAAAGTTGTGGTAGTCGCAATTTTCACTTATTTATATGTTTAAAGTTCAAATTTAGATGTCTGAGACTGAGGGAGTCAGAATTGAATTATTTTGAAGTGTCCTCTCATAGTGTATGCTTGTTTCTGTTGACCGTGTGTTTTCATTCATTATTCTGGAATGTTTTCTGCTTAGTTCATTAATCATAACATGTGTCTTTGTTCATGAATCTTGAATATCTTCTGCTTCATTAATAATGCTTTCTATTTGAGAGTACTCATGCAATTAATAAAGTTAAAAATTGGAGATTAAGGTATCTTACTTGGGTCACATGACAACACACACAACAAATGATTTCGGTGGGAAATGGGTTTTTACTATTGACATGCAAACTACCTTGTGACAAAGGGGTTATGTAATGCGAACACATCAGTTTTCCCTTATGTTATTAGATATGATACTTGGAGAACTTTTTCTTTTTTAATTGAGGAAAATGCAGGGTAGGGTAACAAACACTCTCAAAAAGGAGGGGAAATCCTCCTGCAGAAGTCATAATCTCAAGTCTCAACTGGGATAACTCACAACCCAATTGTTGGCCCATTCCTCACGTTAAGAAAAATTATATCTAAGCTCTCTTTTGTTAAAAGTTTAAGTTATTTGGTGCAATTTTCTTCAGGTAACATTCAGTGAGATAAATATAGTCCTCTTTAAGTATCATTTGTTTTTATGTCTGCAGGTTTACTCACTTGAAGATGGTCCTGTGCATGCTGTTTGGAGAAACATTGGAGTTCCAGTCAAAATCATGGAACTGGTGGGAAGATGGAGATCATTGTAGATTGGCTATCGTATGATTCTCATGTATGTGAACTTCTACACTTAAATTAATCACTAAACTGTTAGAAATCGTAACTAACTTAGGATCTTCCTTTCCTTCTAGCATTAATAACAGTCTGTTCAGTTCTTTTGCTGCTATATAGGTGTCCTTGGTCCTTGCGTCATTGTATTTTTCAGTAATCTCATTATTTTTTGTGTGTTGTGGGGGAACAATCAACTAGTCTCATGTAACTTTGCATAAAGAATAATTTAAACACTTTTGAATATCTCATCAGTTATTTTTTTATATTTTTTCATTGTTGGTACTCACACACACGTCTCTACTGAGACTTGAACCGTTGACCTCCTTTTGGGAAGTAAGAGGCTGATACCGCTAGGCCACTAGCCCGTTGGTGAATATCTCATCAATGCTAGTGTATAGTCGATACGATATCATTATTGGTAGTTTGCATGTTATACATTTTTTTTTACAGATTGGATGAGACTGATTTGGCTTATTAAAGCAATAATTTTAGGTCTTTCTGATCATGGTATATGCCTTTTGCAGCTATGATGGTATACTCGTAAACTCTCTGGAAGCCAGTGGAATTTGTCCTTGGTAAGCTATATCATTTTATTTTATAACCAGATTATTCCTTATGCTGAAGACACTAATTTAATAGTTGTGCAATTTAATTGTCAATCCAACCCCAAAAGTATTTCATGCAGAAGCTGATGCATTAGCATTTTTGGGGTCAATCAAAATGCAAAATCTTTTTTTTTGGCGGTAGCAAGTATGTTCTTGTATATGCTTCTGTAGAAGCTCATTCATATGTGATAATACAATTTTTCTGACATGATTACTTTGCTTTTATCTGTTTCTTCCTAATATTAGCTAATAGGTTAGAGTTGATTCTGCTGACAATGTCCTTATTAAGTTAACATGAAAGACTTTATTTTTGACAGCCTCGTGCAGGAGCCTTTCAAGTCTGTACCTATTATTTGGACCATCCATGAAGCTCATTCATGTACATGCACTTGCTACTCGTTTGACACAATACCAAAACCAGCCTGGGTTTTCTATACCAAAAGCCTTGTGTTGTGGCTCAATGGAGGGCCTGGTTGTTCATCTGTAGCGTATGGAGGTGCTGAAGAGATGGGACCTTTTCGCATTCAATCTGATGGTAAAGACCCTTTACTTGAATCCTTATGCTTGGAACAAATGTATGTGAATAATTGTCCAAGGCACATACATATTCTTCAATTCCAAAGTAGTTTTCTTTAAACTATTCAATGCATTTCTGATTCCATATATATATATATACATATATATTCTTTTACATTCTTTGGCAAGTTTAACTTTCTATTAGAGAGTAGTTCCTAAGGATCACGTTGATATTCATTTTGGGCTTTTAGATTTTTTCCTTGTTTCCCCTGAAGATGAAAACTGATTCAAGCGGTGTAATTAAATAAAGCTACATAATTGAACAAATTGGCAGCGAACAAATGTTCATGAAACAAATAGACAAATATAAAGGAGCAAACAAATAAACAGGTAACTATAAAAGGGGAAATAAAAAAAAAAATTAAAACGGGATACACCAGCCTTATATGAACGCAACGTTGGTAAGTTTTTTTAGAAATTGAATTACCAGTGTTTTTTTAGACTGCGCAGGTGGTGAAAAGTACAGCTGTTGCAAGTGAATACAAATCCCTATGAATAATGAAACATTTTATATTTATCATATATATTAATAATTAGTTTATTTATTTATTAATAATTAGTTATGCTCTGACTTTTTCACCCAATTTTTTTTTTTTTTTTTCATATTTATAAACTACCCTAGAAATTTAGTTAAATTTTAAATTTTACTTTTATAGAAGTGTTTTATTGAACTCAAATAACTAAAATAGCTTAGGAAAAAAGATATAATAATAATAATAACTAAAGCACCTTTAATGTCAAAAGGGCTCGGGTGTTGAGCAATAAAATAAGCAAGAATGATACTGAATTTAGGTTACTGGTTACCATTTAAATCCTTTTGCTAAGAGCATAAAATACTGTTATGGGTAAAATATACACTATCATAGATACGGTCGTCTGTTAAGATACTCTGTCATTTTACTGATGTGTAAAATATTTTACACAATTTTTTTACAATAAATTTTCTTTCTCATCCCATTAAAGAATCAAACTATATTAAGTATGTTTGTAAAAATTATGTAGGATTTTGTCATGACACGGGAGTGGTTATTATTGAAGGATATATTTTTACACAAATGGTATAAAACACCTATTGAAGCTAAAAATAAATAATCTAATTTTTTTTTTTTTTTAAAATTTATGATTGACACATCTAATTTACACAATATATATATATATAGGTTGGAGATGCTCATATATATATATATATTCCTAAATTAAATATCCTTACCATTTAGGTCGGTGATACAAAAAATGCTAATTTATAAATGAAAAACCAATACAAAAATTGTGTGATGATTCCTTCACACTCAGTGCATGTACAAAACGTATCTGGATTGCATAAACAAACTTCTTGTCTGGCCCAACTAATTTGGTCCGAGAAAGTCAATTAATCAAATTGGCCCAGTGGGATGATCTGGTTGTAGGGATTTGAGTCACCAGGTCCCAATCCAGAAGGTAGTTGGCTCACAAGGCCGATCTCATGGAAATAACAAAAAAGAAGAGAAAAGAGAAAAAAATAGATCCAGTTTTAGCAGTACTTAATTCCAAAGTATTTAGTCGTAATTATTACCCACCTACTAATAAAGCAAAAGAACATATATTTAAAGAAGTATAAAATGTAACAGTAACAAGTGTGCATGCAATAATTTCATGATGAGTATCATGAGTTTACATATTTGTAGTTTGTATTCACTTCCACCGTGTTAAGTTTTTGTCTATGTAAATTTTACTTAAATTATGTAATTATTTTAAATTATGAAAAACATATTTGATAACGTTTATTTGTTGCAAAGTTTTTGAAAGTAAAAATATTAAAACATATTTAGTAAAAAAGTGTTCAAAGTTTGAAAAATATAATGATTAGTTTAAAAATGTCATTAAAGAGTTTTTTTTTTTTTTTTTGAATGAATGAATGAAAATCAGATAGATTACCTACTCTTATTATAATTATAAAAAGAAGAAGAATAACGTTTGACATTATATTTTTAAGCACAATAGATGACTCTTGAGTGATATTTAATCATTCATTAAAAAAAAGAAAGAAGATATTTAATCCAATGAATGCCATTCTATTTCCATGATATCCACTGAGCTTAACAATTCTCAAATTTAAGTAAAAACAATTAAAACATGGTATCAAAGCTCTGTGCAATTGGGAAAAATTAATTAATTTTTTTTAAAATTTTTTTTAATTGGTGGTACTCACACACACTTCTCTTTCGAGACTTGAACCCTCTGACATCTCTTTAGGAAATAAGAGGCTGATATTGTTAGACTATTGATTAAAAATTAAAAGTTAAATATTTTCATAAACTAAGAAGTTATGTCTCATTATATACTAATAATTAGTCATGGTCAGTGAATTTTTCACCCAAAATTTTTTTTATAACATATTTATAAACTACCCTAGAAATTTAATTAAATTTTAAATTTTCCTTTTATAGAAGTGTTTCATTGAACTCAAATAACTAAAACAACTTAGGAGGAAAGGGGGCAAAAAAAAAAAAAAAAAAAAAAAAAAAAAAAAAAAAATCCTTTAACGTCAAAAGGGCTCGGGTGTTGACCAATAAAATAACAATACGTCCACAAGCATGATACTGTGGGAGATTTAACCAGGCCTAGGCTACTATACTAGTTTGCATAAATAAACTTCTTGTCTGGCCCAACTAGTCAATAAATCAAATTGGGCCAGTGGATGGTCTGGTGGTAGGGATTTGAGTCGCCAGGTCCCAATCCAGAAGGTAATTGGCCCACACTCTCATGGAACTAACAAAAAAGAAAAAAGAGACAAAAAAAAAAAAAAAATAGATCCAATTTTAGCAGTACTTAATTCCAAAGTATTTAGTAGTAATTATTACCCACCCACTAATAAAGCAAAAGAACATATATTTAAAGAAGTATAAATTAGAACAGTAACAAGTGTGCATGCAATAATTTCATGATGGGTGTCATGAGTTACATGCTTGTAGTTTGTATTTACTTCCATTGTGTCAAGTTTTTGGCTAGGTAAATTCCTACTTAAATTATGCAATTATTTTAAATACCAAAAAAAAAAAAAAAAGGAACAAATTTATATGGATATATATTCAAAGTGGACTATATATATTGATTATTTATTTTTAGTGTTGTAATTTACTCTAACTTGTGCTGCATATAACCTGCACAATTCGATATATACACAGTTTCTCGATCTCTCTAATGGGGTTTTACACGAAATCTCTCACACCTCTTGAGTTCACAAATACTTTCCAGAACTTTTGAGCTGCTGGAGTCCATGACAGAAGATGCTCATGCTTCAAAAGAGACCTATTTTATTTTTTCCTACTCCACCCATTCTAATCATCTCTCTTCTTTTCGAAAAAAGACCTACATTATTAGGACAAAAGAGGAAAAGTTTTAAAAGCGTTAATAAACTTGTAAAAACATATATTCTGAAATTGAAAACTAAACTTTTAAGTCTTTAATCGCCATTAATAAATTGTACGAGCATAACATCATAACAATATTATATATGCATGTAGAAACAAAAACAAAAAATCTGTATATAAAACATGAATAAATAAACGTAACCAATAGTCAAAAATGCCAATTAAAATTTTAGAAAAAGTAAGAGTTTGTTATCATGATGACTGAGGAGGTATGCTCTTGAACCTTGTTCTTGCTAAATGTTAAAACTCGACGCAAACCCTAAAAATAAGAGAACACTCAAGTTTTGAGGAAGAGGTTTCACAATCTCACTTATAACAATTAAAATACCACCATCTAAGTACTATATGTAACATATATCAACTCAACCCAACTATGCTTTCAGTCAAAATGTTGGACACCTATTCATAGAAAAAGGTGTGATTATGGATAGGTGTGATAAACACATATTATACTCAGCTTTTATGTTAAATTAATCCAATAACAAAGTATAATGCATTAGTTTAGGAATAATCTTCAAAATTAACAAATCAATAAACTGATATTCTGCATTCTAATAACAAAAAAAAAAAAAAAAAAAAATCAAAAACCAAAATTTGAAAATAAAAATATGACAGAAAGATTGAATATATCCTTCATGCATTACACATATTGTATTTCTATGTGAAACAAAACATCCAGGATTTCTCAATGGGGTGGGCTAAATCAAAATATATCAACCAAAATCAACTGTTGTTTAATTCAATTTTAGTTAACTAACAATGTTTCTTTAGACAATTGACTAATCAAGGCATAGAAAATCCTATTTTGGGTAATTGATAAAAAAATTACCAATTTATTTATGAACAATTCACCACTCGTACCCTATCTCTTCTTTTGACCAATTTACTAATCCTATTTGTGAATCTACTAGTGGAAGCAGAGTGTGAGGTAGTTCATGGCAAGCCCCTTCCAACACTGTGGAATTCACTCAAAAAATGTTTCAGATTCAATCTCTGCATATTTCTAATCCAATTCAGATTCTTTTTTTTTTTTTTTTTTTTTTTTTCATGCCCATATTCAAATTTTCTTGTAGACATAATTGACAACAAAAAAAAAAAAAGAAAAAAAAAAAGAAAAAGAAAAAGAAAAAGAAATAGAAATAGAAGGTATAGAAATAAAAATATATATATTTGTTTTGCTGAAATAAAATGTAGATTACGATGATTACCTCAAAATGCAATAAATTTTTTTTTACTTTATATTTTAAAAAGAACATAAATTTTTTCTCCAAATCGGATTAGTTTGCAAAACAAGAATTATAGAGCTTGATTAGGTGATTAAGAAAAAAAATAAAAACAAAACCCATACATACAAGTTAGCAATTGCAGAGAGAGAGAGAGAGGGGGAAAAGCTTGAGAGTTGAGAGACAGCGGGCCAGCGGCTGAAGCTTGCCAACAGCGAACCCGATTTGGAAACAACAAGATATGGGACCTCCTTCAAACTAACCATAAATAGATTGTGGGAATTCTTCCAAAATTTTAACATGTAAGCCATGTTGGGTTGAAAGGTGAGTCGTTGACGACTCAAACTCGAGCTATCTCAAACATAAACGAGCGAAGTAAAAAGCCTCCTGTGAGAATTTGATTCAAGCTTAAGTTGACTCGAGCACTC